CCCCCCCCTCACAGGACACAGGGGGGTCGCTGCAGAGGAGGGCCTTGCTGTGCTGTACAGACATGGATTACTGCAACCGGGACCTGCAGCCCAGCCTGCCTCCGCAGCACAGTGCCGGTAACCAATCAGCATTGGTGGGGGTCCCTTCATGCTCTGGTGTTCCTCCCTGCTCTCTTCGGCAGTGTGGTGGCCTGTATTGTGTTCAGGGATGTGGTGGGGAGGGGGCGGGGACAGCGGGAGACAGATCATCCCAACCTCATGAACTGTCCTGTCTTCCTCAGGCTATGTGGACAGCAGCGTCCACTACACAGCCCTCTTCATCTCCATCAGCTTCTGTACGGCCATCCTCGTCTTCCTCACCATCTTGTGTTACTTCTGGTGAGCAACTCATACCCACATTTCTTCAGGGAACTGGATTTTCTAAGAGTGTTACAGGCTGATCTTAAACGAGGAATGGCAGCGTACAGGGGATTAACTCGGGTGTTAATCCTACTTATGAGAACTCTTCATTAATAAAGGCATATAATAGAAGTCTCTTCCTCTTCCAGGTACAAGCGGCAGGAATCACAGTCACGCTATAGCTTCGGTCTAGAGTCTGATGACATGTACATCCACCCCGGGGAATCGCTGAAGGACCTGATCGAGCAGTCCCAGAGCTCCGGCAGCGGCTCCGGACTCCCTCTGCTGGTCAGAGCCTTGCACTGCAGTTTCCATCCAGGAGCATGACAGATCCAGATTAAAGCAGGTGAGAGTGATGGTCCTCTGTCCTCATGCCGGCCAGGTGCAGCGGACCATCGCCAAGCAGATCCAGATGGTGACACAGATTGGAAAGGGCCGGTACGGCGAGGTCTGGATGGGCCGCTGGCGGGGGGAGAGGGTGGCTGTCAAGGTCTTCTTCACCATGGAGGAGGCCAGCTGGTTCCGGGAAACAGAGATCTACCAGACGGTTCTGATGAGGCATGAGAACATTCTTGGTACGACTTGGATCCAGTCCGAAAACCATAACACTGTACGTCAGTGGCGGAGGGACAGGCATCTCTCACCCGAGCCGTGTGTCTGCGCCTTGCTTCCCCCCCAGGCTTCATCGCGGCGGACATTAAGGGCACGGGCTCCTGGACCCAGCTATACCTGATCACAGATTACCATGAGAGCGGCTCCCTCTATGACTACCTCCGCTCTACCACGCTGGACGGCCGGGCCATGCTCCGGCTGGCATACTCCTCCATATCGGGCCTCTGCCACCTGCACACTGAGATCTTTGGCACGCAGGGCAAGCCGGCCATCGCCCACCGCGACCTCAAGAGCAAGAACATCCTGGTGAAGAGGAACGGCACGTGCTGCATCGCCGACCTGGGGCTGGCCGTCAAGTTCATTAGGTCAGTGTGGTCAAGGGGTGGGGGGGTTATAGAGGGGTGGGGACAGGGAGGTGGGACGGTAGTGCGGGGACAGGGGCAGTGGGCAGAGACAGAGATGGGGTGGGTGGTCGGTGGCGGGGACAGGAGCTGGAGCAGGGGCAGGACAGGGGGTTGGGGCCGGGGTGGGTGGTCAGGGCAGAGGGAGGAGCTTCTGTTGTCAAATTGCCAGCAGACACAACAAATCATCAAATAGGTGGACATAGCAACAGGGGCTGTAGTGGTTCAGCTGTCTGGTTGAAGATATTTAATATGTATGCTAAAGAATCCAGTTGTCAAAAAGATGATAAAATGCCCATTGATTCATCTTATGATAGGAGGATCATACGAGTTCGCCTCTCCTGTCCACAGTAAACACATCAACATGTTTCTCCTTGCAGTGACACCAACGAGGTGGACATCCCGCCTAACACACGGGTTGGCACCAAGCGTTACATGGCCCCGGAGGTCCTGGACGAGAGTTTGAACAGAGTCCACTTCCAGTCATACATCATGGCTGACATGTACAGCTTCGGGCTGATCCTGTGGGAGATCACGCGGAAATGCATCTCAGGAGGTACCACAGCACACTGCATCTCAACGTCCCGTCTGGGCTGGGGGAGGTGGGCTTGGCTGGTCTGCGCCACCAGTATTACTGTGGCTGGATAAGGAGAATATGGGGCCCAGCCATCCAGTGGGACATGAAATCATCCGACACGGTCTCAGACTCCTTTGTGTCCAGCATGGAGATGACCAGTGTCCTCCTGTCTTCCTCAGGGATAGTTGAAGAGTTCCAGCTCCCTTACTATGACCTGGTCCCTACAGACCCCTCTTACGAGGACATGAGGGAGATGGTGTGTATGCAGAGGAGGAGGCCCCCGTTCCCCAACCGCTGGAGCAGTGATGAGGTACCAAGTCGCTCCATGTAGCTGTCCATCTCTCTCGCCTGTCCCACAGGGTGACCATCCCTCTCCTCCTGTCCCGCAGTGTCTCAGGCAGATGGGCAAGCTGATGTCCGAGTGCTGGGCGCATAGCCCCGCCTCCCGCCTCACGGCCCTCCGGGTGAAGAAGACGCTGGCCAAGATGTCGGAGTCCCAGGACATCAAGCTGTGAGATGAAGAACATAGACCTGGAAATAGCAGGAGCAAGGAGGCCAGTGGGAGCACCTTTTCCTAGATGTCCTGGGACCTGCCAGGATTCTCCTGGGCTGTGGACCCAGTGAGAACCTCACTCCTCTGCAGGGCACAGACTATTGTCAAGCTGGGCCCATTGGTGTTACTTCCTGCTGCTGTTGTCACAGTGATTAATGAAGCTCAGGTCAGAGATCGGTTTTCCTGGGGCTTCTGGAGCGATGAGACTGAGCCGTGGCTGTGCTGGAGATCACGTCTCCCATGCTGGTGTGCGTCACACAGCTACGTGTGTAAGAACGTCTGTCCATTCTGTCAGTGTTCCAGCCTGTTCAGAGCAGGCACCCGAGCTGGAGTGGACCAGCCGTACCGATTTAAGGGTGAACCTGACATATAATAAACTGCTATCAGTCTTTGGCTGTTTGTGGCTCTTTTGTTAGGACAGCGGACAGATGTGGGGCACAAAAACACACTCAGCCACATACAGACACATAATCAAATACACATACACACTCTCACACACAAATACACACAAATTCACACACTCAGCCAGACACACACACACAATCAGACACAGATACACACTCATACACACAACCACACGCGACACAATCAGATACACACTCACACGCACAGACACACAAATACACAGATTCACACTCAGCCAGACGCAGACACGCATCTGATAAACACACACACGCCATCAACCATACAGATGCATTATAAAATATACACACACAATCAGCAGACAGTATTGTGCAAAATCTTAGGCAAAGAAAATGTTCAAATGATCTTCATGTTTGTAAAAAACTATGATATTATGTGCCAAAGTGTCTCAGCTTAATCGTTTTAAAACCTCTCCTAAAATCACCCCAGTATTTCAGCAACCATCCAATATACTAGTGCATTTTTTGACTGGATCATATCCCACTTTGTCTGGCTAACCGGTTCCTTATCAAGCTATTTGACTACCTAAGTTAATCAGTTAATTTTGCTGGAGGTGAAATTTAGTGAATTCATTGAATTCCTGGGGTGCCCCTGACGAGAGGTTTGGGAACCAAAGTGTTCCAACAAGATATCAGTAACATTTAGGGATCAGACGACATTCTTGTTCGTTTTTATTGTGTTAGTTAATTTGCATATATTCTAAGGTTAATAGTAAATCGTGTTATTTTCTGAGCAAATATGCACTTAGTACTCAGATTAATAGCTATAAACGCTTTCTTTGACTGCCTTACCGTACGTTCACACCGAGCAGGCGAGAGCACAGCGTTTGCTCTGGCCGCCCTGTCTGCAACGGTAGGGAACGCTCTCTGAGCTGGACGGTGTAGATGGGACCGACAATGTTGTTCACAATGCGAGGTCTCGCAGATTTGTTAAATCGGCCCGCAAAACAAACTTGTAACTTGTCTTGGTACTGACTACCGATAGGCTATAATTTGCCAAATCACACGTGTAATTATGCAAACACTACTTCTATAAGTAACGTTAAAGTTACTGACAATTTGCAATAGTTTGCATTCTGTGGCGCCAAAATAGTATTTGATTTCCTTCTTTTGTTCCCCACAAAAAATATTATGCACTCCACCAACTCATCTGGATAATCAATTTCAAACATCTTGGTCTATGCCTCTTTTTAATGTTTTTGTCCCTGTATCAAACACGCGCTTTAATGCCAGCAAAAAAAATACATGAACGTAAAATTAACGCATGTAGATTTGAATGTGCGTTCAACAGATTAGATAATGGATATGTTAATGGAAATATATAACAACGTGTTGTTTATATAGTTTTATATTTGGCTGTCCGGGTCTTGAACTCCGTCTATTTTGCTCTTCACTCCAACTCAGACATATTAATTCAGCGTATCAGACAAAACTCTTCTCTTCGTTGAAATTTCCACAAAATGTAAATTTCAGTATCTATGATTAAAAAGCCAAATATTATAATACGGCAACCAATATAATGCACTACAAACTGAAACTTTTGCCCTTGAATAGCAAAGTATTAGCCTAGGTATATCTCAGTATTCAAAGACTGCGTGTTGACGCGGTAAAATAATGCATGTCTATATTGTTTTTTTTTTTTTCAAATGCACAGTTTTATGCCGCCTAAACACGGGTATTTTTTTTTAGTGTCTAGAGGGTAAAATGCTGTGTGGAGATGAATTCCGTCTCGTGGTTTATACCCCCACGGTGCATGGGGACTGTCGAAACAAAAGTTTACACGCAAGTGTTTTGTGGAACTCTCTACAATCTGACTGGTTGTCGCCGAACCGCATTATAGCTAATCACCATAAAGTTGGCCGGGCATCAGCTTCCTTTTTACGTTCTCCCCGCCCAAATCGTGCCTAGCGGCGCCGCTCCTCCCCGCCTGCCAACGCACCCTCCCATAGAGAATGAACGACTCTGGCATAGTGCTGTACATACCATCAGCTGCACAGATACACACTATCAGCTTGAAAGGTTTGCTGGGTCTTGCTTATAAATATAATTTATTGCTTATTTAAACCTTACATTTGTACAGAGCCCTGAAAGAGGATACGTCAGCATTTACAGGGAGCGTGTAGATCCCACAGAGCAGATCGCAGATATGGCAACAGGACGAGCATTGGGGTGGCCAGGCTTTGCCAGCAGGTTTGCATAGACAGAAAAGGTGACATCTCAGCAGGAGAGTGAAGAACATCCTACAAACAGTGACCTGGACAGCTGTACATCATCACCATCATACCAAAGTTTACCTGTTTAGGTTTAGTCTAGTAGAGGCTAACATGCAGTCTTCAGAAGGCAAAGGTGATGTGGAACAAGGATAGTCCAACCCACACTAGGAGGACACTGAACCACGGCAGTTAGATGTTCAGGGCAGATCCAGGCAAGTGTGATGTCCCCCTGGTCTGTCCACTAGTGATGGCAAAAACAAGACTTCATGAACCATTTGCTGTATTTCCTGACCCCACTACGTGCTGTCTGCTCAAAAAAGGGTTCAAAGCAAACCTCCAAACCAAGCCAAGAGCACCATCTAGTGGGGTCAAGAGATACCACAAATGGTTCATGACGGGTTGTTTTTACCATCACTAGTGTCCACATCACCCGCATGTCCCACGAAGGGCTCAATTTAGAAAAATGACCATAGAAAAAGTGGACTAATTCCCTTCAGCAGACCCCCCAAAATCAGTTTTGCTATTTACAGGTTTGAACAATAACCTAGTCTGCCAGCAGATGTAGTCCCTGCATATGTCCACTAGATGGCATCATGTAACAAGAGAAAGTGGAAAAGCAAGTTATATTAAATATAAAATTCATAAGAAGTATAATGCGTATACAAAAGGTGATGATTTAAAAACAGTGACCACTTGAAGTCCTAAGTGCTGTATGCAAGTCAGATGGTCTAATATGACCGTATGTGGCACAAAGGGGACTCCGAGTGCATCAAGGCTCATATACCTGCACCTGACCAAAGGGTCCACATGCTGCACTGTCCAGAGCAGCCCGGCATCCACATATATGGACAAGAGGACATTCCGTTTCCTCAGAAACTATCAAGGTTAAGAAATATCTACCAAGGACTCTGTGGTCCAAGCAACAAAGTCCCATTTGCATTTGGTGGTAATTGGTTTCATCTTGATCCATCGAAACAAAGCTGGACTTCTATTCTGGAGTTTTACTGTGACTTTAGTGACTGGACCGCATTCGCCCGCTGCTCTCCAAGGCCGCATGAGCCTCAAATGCCAGGTGCGGTCGATCGGCCAGTCCGGGGCTTTTTGCTGACGTCAGAGATCTGGCACGCTGGAGGTGCTGCAATGGCGCCCCATCTCCTCCAGCACAGCGGCCAGCCGGTTTAGATTGCCGTCAGGAAAGTGCTGGGCCTCCCACAGGTCTAAGATCACGCCAGTTGGACTTGACTTGGTGGCAAAGTAGTTCAGATACCTGCAAGAAAAAATTGGTTATGAACCGTTATGGGAGCTAGCTCTGCGATCCAGTGCCACATCAACTAAACTGCATAGCAAATGTTCCACTATCCAGAAATTCCTCCATCTCTTTACGGTCGTTCCTCCCCAATCTGCTACCATCAATACATGCTGAATTCCAGCGAGTAACAATCCCCCTGCCCACACGCTAGGCATGGTTAACCTGTCCAGGTTGAGCTTGCGTGCCAGCATTCTCCAATCATTGCCCCGCGGTGGGGGGGCATCCAGGCTGCTGCAGAGCTTCTGCCGGATGGAAAGCGGGATCCGGAAGGCGCTGGGGCCCACCAGCGTGGTGATGCTGCTGGCCGGATCGAGCAGCGAGGTCTCGATGCTCTGGGTGTTCTGCAGGAGATGAGAGTTGAGCTGAAGGACCAAATCCTGAGTGATATGCAGAGGGCATGTGCCGGGCAGACTCACTCACCTCCGACAGGGTGCTGTAGAGCTGGAAGATCTGGCCCTCGCCCTCCACCTGGCGCACGCACAGCTGACAGGCGAGCTCCGTCACCCGGAAGCTGGAGCGCTCCAGTGAGAAGATGCAGTGCAAGCAGTGCTGGCTGCCGTTCCACACCTGAGAGAACGACAGCTCCTGTCGCGGACAGAGATGGACATCAGGCCTGGGAGTTCCGGCCATGGCCCCTCCCACTCTACGCGGCCTCACCTGGTACTTGGCCAGCAGTTTGCTCTTCCACAGAGTCGGAGGGATGTCATGGATGGACAGCCGGAGGTTGTGGCTGCTGTCCTTGAAGGTCAAGGTCTTCGGTTCATCCAGCAACTTGCCACCCATCTGCTTCTCCATCTGCAGGACCTCCTGTGAGATCAGCAATGGGGGATGAACAGCCCAGCTGGTAGAAGACAGACTACTCAACATGAGCAAAATCCATCCCAACTGATGAGATCCCAACTGGACAGACAGATGCACACATGGTCCTTCAGCAAGCTGGCAGCAATCACTGCAGTGTTTTGGTTAGGGTCACCCCCTCTCAAGGATAGGGCTAGGTTCAGGATCAGGATCAGGATCATATCCGCATCTGCTAGTTAGTTATGTTTATTTTTAACACAATGCCAGCAGTTAGAGCTATATTTATTGCAAGGGCAAATAGACAGTAAAAGAGACTGAACAATCAATAAGGTAAAAAATGCATAAATAATTATAAAACATTACACTTAAAATAATCTAATTAAGATGCTTAAGATTAGTTTTCACTGAAAAAAATCCCAAAAAAATTCCTAAAAACCTCTGTTAAAGAGTCAGTATCAATTATTAATTATTAAAATGGTACAAACCCTGTGTTAGGACTGCGCTCTGGTGAACTTTTGACTACAGTTTAATGTACCAGTGTTAAACCACTTCATAAGGCCTATAAACCACATTTAAATGATAAAACTTTATGCGCGCACACACACACACACACACTTGCTTCTATAATGTACCTGAACAAACACTAAATGGACACATCTCTTAATTAAATTCAGTGTTTCATTCAGACCCATTGCCAGAGGTGCATAAAATCAAGCACCTAGCCATGCAGTCAGGTTTACAAATATTTGTGAAAGAATGGGTCATTTCAAGAGCTCAGTGAATTCAAGCGTGGTACGATGCCACCTTTGCAGTAAGTCAGTTCATGAAATTTCTTCCATGCTAGATCTATCTTTTCTGTTCCAGCATGACTGTGCCCTAGTGCACGAAGCAAGGTACATAAAGAGATGGTTGGGTGAGTTTGGTGTGGAAGAACTTGACTGGCCTGCACAGAGCCCTGACCTCAACTCCATCGAGCACCTTTGGGATGAACTATAGAATGGAGATTGTGAGCTAGGCCTGAAAAGTCCAACATCAGTGCTTGATCTTACAAATGCTATTATGGATGAATGGGCAAAAATTCCCACAGACACTCTCCAAAATCTTGTGGAAAGCCTTCCCAGAGGACTGGCAGCTGTTATAGCTGCAAAGGGGAGACCAACTCCATATCGATGCCTATGGATTCAGAATAGGACGTCATATAAGGTCCTGTGCCGTAACAGTCAGACGTCAATACTTTTATCCATATAGTGTTTAATAGAATCTTTTGAACTTCTATTGGCTCAAACCAGCATCGCTTGTACGTGTATGAGAAACACCTCTGTGTGAAGCCTAATTTTAGTACTTAATGCACATTTTCAATGTACAGGGAGTCCGACACCCATCCCCAATGGGAGGGATGCAAACAGGCTCAGCTGACATGTGACGATGTGACCGGCGTCTTGGCCACCGCTGCATTGTGAGGAGGTTAAATGCTGGTGACGGTTCCCATTAATGCTCCTCCATCTGACCGTCACCCCAAAGCATGGCCGCCTTGAATGAGCGCCTCTCTTAACTTACTGGATTAATGAACGCTGCTTGTAATACCCACTTGTGTCCTCTAGGTGGCAGGACAACAGCATGGTGGCACTGTGGTACCATCTTCCCCGGGTGTCTAAGCGGCCATTGTGATGCACTGCACACAGCGCTGGCCTTTCACCCGGTGACCACGTAGCACCTGTCTGTCTAACGCCTTGCCAGCACTGCTCAGTGAAGCCAGGCCCCGATGTCTGCAGCCGCTGGGCTTCTGAGCGTAATTTACCATGGATGGTTTGGACATTAAAAGTACAGTCGCATATAACTGGTGTGAATGAGCCCCGAGGCTTACTGAGGCTGGCCAGGTGATTACCCACCTCACTGAGCGCGCGTCCAACGTTTCAGGCTGTTGCCCTCGATAACATTTCAAGAAGCAGCACGTATGGCTAAGTAATCAGGCACTAAACATGGAAACAGGCCCCAAAGGGACTCATACATCTCCTTTATTGGTTACGTTTGCGGCAAACCGTAGGTGAACGCAATAGTCTCCGACAGCAGTACGGCTGCATGACTCTAGAGGGCGACAGAGCAACGCTCATGCCAAACCCAATGAACCCGACAACCTCACGCGATGCCTGGCACCCAGCGCTGGTGTCCCCGGTGCTCCCCTACCTTGAGAGTGTCCTGAGTGTCGTCCAGGCAGTAGACGCGGATGTGGTAGTCCAGGGCGCTGCAGACCAGGGGCCCGAAGGCGGCCAGCTTCAGCCGCTTGGCCGACGCCTTGCTGAGCGACCTGCCCAGCAGGCAGTAGGTTCCCAGCGTCTCCGTCAGGATGTGACAAGCCTCCTCGTTCATCTGGATGTAGCAGGGTGTGCTGTAGCTCTCCTCCCCCACCACCACCACATCCTGGGCAGACATGAGCAGACACAGGCTTAGAAAGGAGGGGCTAGAGGGACCCCCCCAGGATCCATCTGCTCAGTGCGGACACATTTAGAGCAGACAGTCAGTTACGAGAGTGAATAGAAATGAAGGACGATACAATGGCAATGCGATGACTGCTTTCTGGCCTCAATATCACACCTCAGGGGCAGAGAAATCATGAGCAGGGGCCTTTAGCGACTCTTCCTGTTAATGACTCTGTGTGCGTTTGGTGCTGCCTTGACCCAAGTCACCACTTATCGCATATGAATGACAATCACTACATTTTTCGAAGAGGGGCCGTCTGAGCTGAGAGCACAAACAGCTGTCTCTCCGTGTCCTGGATATTTGATGCAGTTCAGGCATAACCAAACGATCTACCTCCTTTTCCCACACACCCCCTCTGCAGCGCTCCGCAACGCCTCCCCGGCTCCTTCCAGCTGCCGATGTGATGCAATCTTCCAGTAATGGCACTCGGACTCCATCACTTGTGGGATACCTGCCGTGTGTCTCTTTTGATTGATACCTTCTGCCAATTTTATGCTGATTAACTAGGCCTGCTTTCCCTGCACTAATATGCTCACAGACATTAATTTTACTCTGACTTCTGTGACTGAACAGCTTGAATTTTTCAGGGGCCCATAACTCATAAAGCATTTCGCGAAGCACATTTACATCGATCTCTTCTATAGCATATTCACACAGCGGTCCCACACATACTCCTGGCCCGTATTCATTTGAGACTGATAACTAACCCAGTCTCTCCATCAGAGACTGAGGGACAGTGTCCAAACGTCACTCCAGTTAAAACTGCCCGTCCGCAATCTTTTTAGCCCGACGATGTACAGTCCCCAACTACTAATGGCTATTTTCATTTGACAGCAAGCGCACTCACTGGCAGTAACAGCTGAAATACAGCCAAATCACACAGCAAATTAATCATTCTGTCTGGGCGACATGAAGTGCATGGCTCAGAAGCTCCACTAGGGGGCGAGTGATGCAGGCATGCATTGTTCCATCAGTAAATAGCATTCTGACACTGCATTTATCAGTGAAGGGTTGTACTGAAAGGTATTCTGGGAAGTTGTTCAGGATAATGGGGAAACATGACCATTCATAGACTTAAAAAGGATTATCAAATGCTTCCTTCCTCAACCTTGGAGGATATAGAAAGGGCAGATAATGTACTCCTACTTATAAAGGTGTGTTTTGTTTACTAAAAGAAAGGTCAGCATCTGCTCTCTTTAACACACGTAGTAATAACATTCATTTTACTTTTTTAACTATGCCATTGAATCTGCATCAATCTGTCTCTCTGCCACTAGGGGGCATTGATACCACTAACCTGATGACCAGACAGACTGCAGCCCTGAACAGAGGCCAACAGCAACCCCTCACCCTGGAGCCTCAAGCTGCTCGAGCCCAGAGTGCCTCACCTCCCACTCGCCATGGGCACACTGGTTCTTCAGCTGAATCTGCCAGTCCAGGCTCCAAGCCTCAGCGCAGTGATGCATGGTGAGAATCACAGGCCTGTTCAGGAGGGCCCCGGGGGGTCCACAGCTGATCACTGGGCTCAGAACTGTCTCTCCCTCTTCTACTGGAGGTCTGGGGGGGGGGGGGGCAGACAACACATGACATTCATCTCAGTTTAGCCACAGGCCTGTAGCTGCGGTAAACACGATCAGTCTATCGCTGTTGTTGTGCTGAAATGAATCGTTCATACTGTCAGGTGAGAGAACTCGGATAGGGGTGGGCTTACCTCATGCTCTCCTTCCTGTGCACGGTCACGAACATCTCATACACCCTGCCCTGGGGTACGGCTCCAGCCGGGATCAGCAGACTGACTCCTGGAGGAGAGAGAGTGGTTCTCTCGTCACGTCCGCCCCCCAATGCCCACCACACGCGGCACCAGCTCCACGGCCCACATGCCACCCCTGCTCGCTGAGGCAGCCCAAACATCTATCCCTCGCTTCCGTTAAATAATGTGTCCCGTCCTTTTTTTCTGGGTGAGCGGTGGAGAAAATGCCCGTGGAGCAAGCTCAGCGATCGTGCGCGCGTCCTCCTGAAGGAGGTTCTCCGTCTCCACTTTTCGAAGCTCAGCACGCAGCGGAGGTGAAATCTGGTGGATAACCCCTCCCAGAGAAACAGAGCAAACCCCAGGACCGGGTGCTTCCATGGCCGTTAATGATCCTGCTGCAAATACAACCGTTAGTCTATAAATGTCACCAGGTGCAGACCTGCCACTGGCTCCCAGACACTTCACAACCAAGCACTTTGCACATAAAATATTTAAAAAGTCCTATTCTCTGCTCTAAAGATCTCTACTGCATGTGTGGGGAATATGACGCAGGAGATACTGCAGTCTATCTGCTAAACCAAGCAGGACTAGAGCGCTGCTATTAATTAAAGCAGGTAGGCGGTGGGTATCAGGCATCTCTGATTTTCAGGAAGCTCTTGATCCAGAAATGAGCTGGCTGGCTGCTGCACAGGCTGGCAGCCGCTCACACGGCACCGTCACGGACACGTGGTGCGGGTCCTTCCACCAAGCCAACTCTCTCCTCTCATCCTCTGGGGACCCGTAGGGTGCCAGGCTTTCCATGGTGGTGTGCGTGGGGAAGGGAGGAAGCCAGACGCTCCGGAAACACTGAGCAGGCGGAGGAGGATGGTGCTGGAAGACTGGATGCACGCTAGGCTTCCATCAGAATCACCCTCGTTTTTTAATCCTGTTCTGCAGAAGGCCTGCAAGACTCTAGAGGACGCTGTATCATTTTAGTCATGTGCGATTTACTATCAGTGGTCCATCGCCACACTCGCTTTCCATGGACAGCTACATACATGCTTTCAAACCTCCATTCAGACCTTCTCATGCATCTATTAAAGATCCTGTTTAATCTCTGCCAAAGCCAGCTATGTTCGGAAGGGCGTTATAAACAGATCGAAACAGAAAATGAACCGTCTCGATCAGAGGCTTTCTTCCCAGTTCCTGAGAGACAACTGGACATACTTTTGGCTGAGACCATTTATGGCATAGGCTGGACAGAGCTGTTTGAAGGGTGACTCATCATCTCCTAACATTATGTCTTAACTCTTTTTGAGAGATTTTACAGTTGGGGCTGTTCTGTATAAGAAAGTTAAATGAACAATGACTCATATTAATACCACTCAGATAAAAATAATAATAGAGTGCAAGTATTAATGATCCTTTTAGAAACACTTAAATCATGCTCTCGAATGCTCCCTCAGAGACGGACAGAGACAGTGAGAGGACCATGGGTACAGGCATAGAGATATGTGCAGAGGCAGGGACAGAGGTATGGACAGGGACATAGACAGAAACATGGGCATTGACATGGACAGAGCCATGGATAGAGGGACAGACAAGGACATGGACAGACAGGGACACAGGCACAAACCAAAGCAGGGGCCGAGGCATGAAGAGAGGCACAGATGGAGCCATTTCTACACAGATGTCCCCAGTGACGCCCAACACATACCTGAGTTGGGCACGATGAGGTGCCCTCCCAGAGAGTTGAAGGTCCCAAGGGCGGTACATGAGGGGTCACGGATTCGAGCTAAGCTTTGGTTGCGCAAGGTCATGATCTCTGCATCCAGCAGGGGGTTGGTGATCTTTGGGGAGCCCCCTGAGCCCGGGTCCGAGAGCTCATCCTGGGAGGGAGCCAGGCCAGGCGAGCTGTACACTTTGATCTTCAAGTTGGGCAGAGAGTCAAGCAGAGGCGAGGTGGTCATGGGAATCTTGTCGGAGGATTCGTGGAGGGCGTAGACAGGCCTGCGGTACATGGCTGCCGCAGACGTCAGGTCTGGGGGGGTCGTCAACAGCTCAGCTGGGGGGCATGAAAGTCTAAATAAAACTCTGACTACATGCAAGCATAAATTCCCACTAACGTCCATGAGCAGATTCATCTTTGGTGCCAAATTCCAAAAAATTCTGCAAGAGCCATAGAGGCAGGGCTAAACTCTGAGGTCATACTGTCAACACCTACATCTACATCCATGAAAGCTTAGACATTGCAGCACCTCAGTTGGAGAGGGTATGAATGGGGGTTGTTTGAGAACCCCTGGTAATAGGACTCCCTGACGAGCTCCGCACCTTCTCTGGCCAATGCCAACCCTATTCGCCCATCGTCATGGTGCCCTGTGCTCACCTGTCCGGCTGGTCTTAAGGTGGATCGGCTGGAATCCCCCGCTGAGCACCGACGAGTCGACCTCTGAGCTGAAGCTGTGCCGGTTCCTGCGGTAGATGAGGAATGCCACTACAGCGGAGACGGCCAGGCACATGAGGACGGCGGTGAGGATGCCGGCGTAGAGCGCCACCTCATCCGTGCTGGGGGCGGCTGTGGGGGAAGAGCGAAGGTAAGCCCAAGGGTGCTGAAGCTGAACCCAACGAAAGTGTCGAGATACCAACACTGCTGTCAACACACAGAGCTGCAGAGCACACAGGGGCGACCAGCTGGACCAACACGCGACTCGCACAAAAACACTGAACCTACGGCGGACCAGAGAGACAGATCATCTCTTGCTTTAGCCTTTGGTTATTACACCGAGTTTGGTCGTACAAACCCTTGAAGAGGTAATAACCATCATCATTTACCACAGACACAGGTGCAGCATGATACATATAGAGAGTTCAGAGAGTAAAGCCTTGTGCAGAAGCACCCAAGTTCATGGACTAAAATCTTTGTTATTTCCCTTTTGTGCCATGAACCGCTGCCTGCATTGGTCCTGTAGGGGGAGCCAGAGAGCCCTGATCACAGAGATTGTGGGCACTGGGTCTCATTCTCCTGGACACCAGCAGCAGCTCATGGAGGAGAGAGTCCAACTTTAGATGGTTCACATCAGCCACTGGAGCAGTGGTTAGGGTGGCATGTGACACCTAGAGGCACAGAAGCACTGTGTGGCTTCCCTCGATCAGCAAGTTAACAACGCGATCCCACGGGAGTACTGAAGCATGTCTCTCCACGCCAGGGACATGATTCCCAGCATCCCAGCTCGACTGAGGACACGCACAGACAGGTGCAAAGCTTGGGAGTCCATGTCACCGGTGATGGGACAGAGCGAGCAGAGACTGTGAGCCCGACCAAAGACAGGGGGAGAAATTAAATGAACGGAAAGAGGATGGGAACTGCAAAGGAAGACATGGAGGAGACAGGAAGCAAATAAAACGGGGCTGAAGAACTCACATGAAAATCCAACACCATTCTTGGCGTCAGGCTCAGCTGACATCTGATATAACGAACCTTGGAGAGGGAGAGAGGGAAGGCATGTATGATGACTGGACGAGACCACCCCCCTCATTCCCCATCACGGGACCAATCCGGCTTGCCGTGACCAACGATCAGCAGCACTTCACGCTCCGCGTTAATCTCATCACCGAGCCTGAGAGCTGACAGCACCTCCGCAGAGCTCAGGAAGCCTTTCCTCCCAGGTGAGTGCCGGGCTCATTTAGAACATGGACGCCCCAGTAATGTGACAGGGGGACATACGGGGGCCGGCCATAGCCCCACAGGAAAGGGGCTCCAGAGCCACATGCAAGCTGGATCCTGTGTGTGGGCATGTATATACATCATTGCAGGGACCAAATGTCCTCACATTTTGATAGAAATTAATTTTGACCTTGTGGGGACATTTTTTCAGGAAAAACTCAATTTTCTGCAATCAAAAAACTAAAAATGCAAAAAACTCTTGTATTTTGTTTGGTTACTTACAGCTATGGTTAGGGCTGGGTAGGGGTTAAGTTTGTCATAGTTAGCATTAACATTTTTCCCATAGAAATTAATGAGCGGTCCCCACAAAGATATGATTACAGGTCTGTGTGCGTGTGTGAGCGTGTGCATGTGTATGCATGTGTACATGTGAATGTGAGACATGCTTCTAGTGCAGCGTTTGCCATCACATTTCTCAGAATTTTGCTAGGGGGAAAAAAAAAACACTTAAAAATCTCACCAAAGGCTCAGATGTGTCCAAAAATAGATCTCTACATTGTCCAGGAGGAGAATCTCTTTATCTTCAGTCTGAGATTACGGGAACCACATCACCCTGCCTTCTGCTCATTACGGATGCCCGTTTAAAGGGATCACAGCTATTATCCAGTGAGTAAGTAAGACAAGCCTAATCTCTTGTTTAATTTATTCACTAGCCTTTTATTGTGTGTGGGGGGGAGACAGAGATAATGAGGAAATAAAACAAAACACTGGACAGCTGGAAGAATAAATGATCTTACTGCAAACCCAAAGCTTAGCCAGCCAAGACAGTCCTCCTGTAAGGCTTACCTGGGGCTTGGCTGGCAGTGACAGTGACGCAGTACAAATGCTTGCAGTCTGTACAGACAGAACGACAAACAAACATGCAAACAAAAACAAACAAACAAAGACAGACGGACACTCTGGCCGAGAGCCGGGCAGCTTACAGAGAATAATACTGTTATTTCTCATTGACACACAATGTCTATTCACTGTGGCTGCATCAGTTAAGTTCAGCTTCTAAAGCTGTTAGATAAAGACGGAATGGGATAAAAAGAAAAGAAGCTGAGAAGGATTATATCCTCCTTTTGTGGAAAGGTTCTCCAGTGAAAATTAATCAGAGTTACCCATGGACAATTACGCTTGTGATTCAGAAGAGCACTGACTTATGAACCTACATTAAAGATTAAACCAAGACAAAAAGAAAAGTGGGTGGGTAACAGTTCAGGGACATATTTTTTACCCACAGCCCTGTAATTCCATACAGTGATCCGGCTCTAATTACTTGAAACACCATGTTAATCACAGCTCGCCAAAGCCCGCGGACTCGGAGCGAGTGTCTGGGAAATGGGCCCTGCCTGCGCACGTCACTGTGGCACGTCACCGGAACACACTCAGAGGAACACACCCCACGCCCAGAGAAACCAGCCAGAACTGAGACGGATACCACCTCCTGCACCCACAAAGGCCCCCACCCTTTCGTATGCGCAGATTAGGTTTGTTACATTTTCCAGGGGAAAAGAAAGATGAATGGAACGATTCCTGGCCCAGGGCCCCTGCCTCCGGCTGTAAGGAGTAACCTGTCTGGGCTACACTGACTCCCTGATCCCCAAGTCAGAGCACTGGGGCAATAAAGAGCAGTCTGTCTGGGCCACACTGACTCCACGATCCCCGACTCAGAGCACTGTGACCATAAAGAGCTGCCACACTGACTGCATGTCTGCAGTCCCACAACCCCGAGTCAGAGCACTGCAGCCGAAAAGAGCCTCCGCCTGAGCCACACTGACTCCATGCCTGCAGTCTCAGATCCCTGAGTCAGAGCACTGCGGCCATAGCACGTTTCGCAGGTGGATTGAGAGGAAGGCAACTCACTCTGCATGCACAGCCCATCGGTGCAGTTCTGTGATTGCAGCAGCACACCCTCGCAGTCCTTGCCCCCATTTTTTGGGGTGGGGGCGCTGCATTCCCGCCGGCGCCAGTGGGTGCACTCTGTGCCACAGGTGGACCACTTGCTCCACTCTGTCCAGAGCCCGTCCACTATGGGGGAGACAAGAAAGGCAGGGGTGGGGGGTAAACTGGGGTTCAGGCACATATGGAGGAGGACAGGGATACCCAGGGATCCATGGGGATACACAATAACCTACGGAGATGCCCAAAGTCCCATGAGAATGGATAGGGACAAACAGGGATAGACGGGGACCTACATGGATAGACAGGGACCTACATGGATGGACAGGGACCTACATGGATGGACAGGGACCTACATGGATGGACAGTGACCTACATGGATGGACAAGGACCTACATGGATGGCCAGAAACACATAAGGTCAGACAGGGATGCAGAGGGACAGGCTGGTACACAGATTACAGACAGGGATGGACAGAAAAAGACACGGATACACAAAGACACACGGGGACATACGGGGATGGACGGGGACACACAGTGATGAATGCCATACCTGCACAGAGAGAGGTACAGGCCAGCTTCTGGACAGACTGTCCCTCACAGATGCTGCCCCCATTGAGAGGGGTGGGATTGGTGCAGCTGCGGGTTCGCTTCTGGTAGCCCCGCCCACAGCGGCTGCTGCATGCTGACCACTCGGTCCACATGGACCAGCCGCCATTCACTGCGGGGATGGTGAGATAGCATGGGAGTGAGGGTCACCCCAAAGCTGCAACCTGTGGAACACTCATGCATACGCTTGCAAGCATTACTCGGAGGAGAGAGATCCGGCCCGGCCCGGAGTGAGTGAATACTACAGAAACGAAACTCAACCCCACGTCTCACACCATAGACGATGACGGTGGCCGTGGTACTCTTCCTCCTGGCCACCACATTCTTGGCTACGCAGGTGTAGTTGGCTGTGTCGGAGAGACGGGCCTGCTTGATGATCAGGTTGTAGTCGATGGTGATGTAGAAGTTCCGATCGCCCGCCGGATCGATCGGCTCCTCGTTCTTCAGCCACTCAACCTGGAGAAGTGACGAAGAGAACAGAGGAAGAGGAGATGATCGCAAGGGTCCCAGGAAAATGGCAAATCCTAACCATGAAAAAGAGCCAAGGTGAAACAGCATCTCTGAATTACACACTGTTAGTCTTTGAATCTTCGTATTTTGAGTTTTCTAAACGTCTCAGCCTTTGTCCACGCTACTCTTTGTCCAATGTACACTATTACAAAAGTAAAAGTCCTGGGACATATGCATCCCAGACATTCTGGACAATCGTATGATTCCAGCTCTGTGTGAACAGTTTCGGGACAGCCCTTTTCTGTTCCAGCCATTTTCTGTTCCAGCATGACTGTGCCCCAGTGCACAAAATAAAGTCCATAGAGACATGGTTGGTTGAGTTTGCTGAAGAACTTGACTGGCCCACACAGGGCCCCGACCTCAACCCCATCAAACACCTTGACGATTAACTAGAACAGAGATTGTGAGCCAGGTCTTTACTTCCAACATCAGTGCCTGACCTCAGAAATGCTCTTCTCCAATCCAAAATCTTGTGGAAAGCCTTCCCACAAGAGTGACAGGGGGGGGGGGCAACTCCATATCGATGTCTATGGATTTAGAATGGGATGTCATAAAAGTTCCAGTAGGTGTAATGGCCAGGTGTCCCAATACACTATATGGACAAAAGTATCTCCAAGGCCGTTACCAAGGCCCCCAGGAGGTGTGTGTACTCGAGGTCCGAGCAGAATCACTGCAGTGCATGGAGGAGACGGGATGATCAGCTTTGCAGCTCGTAAACCCTCAGGGTTGACATGACTGTCGCTTCTCATCAAAGCCCCGCAGCAGGATGCAGCTCATCCGTAACATGGAGGGTGACACTACAAGCCGGCATGCGTTAGAGCATCCTGGCCACTCTTATCCACGCCACGTCAGTTGACCACAGACGGCTCCTCTGCGCCAGTACTCAGCACTCTACAAACTATATCCTGTCCAGAAACCCAGAAGGACAGGCGGCCAAACCCCTCTGCCGCTGCTGGGATAGAGGGGACCCGATCTCAGAAGGTCGGGAGAACCGACAGATCCTTAGGAACAACACCAGCCTAAGGATGTCTACAAGCATGACGCTACAAGGAGCAATTTTCTTCATAGTTTTTCTTTAAGATCCATATTGATTTACCCACCACAATTAATCGATGTCAGTCTGATGGGCATGCATAAAAGAGGATTTTAACCATGAAGGAAATAAAACACGGTTACACAGGTGAGTCACATTAGGGTGAATGCTGAGTACAGTTAGTATAAAAGAGGTCTTTGATATCCAAGTTTTCAAAGCAAAATCAGGCAGCTAACAGGGTTTCAAAGAGCCCAAATTGCCAGTGTCTGAATTGCAGGTGTGTCAGACCTGCAAAATTATTTAATGTGTTAAGGGGAACCATCCCAAAAATCATGTCAGTGTTTGTCAAACACAGAGAACACGGACAAAGAGGAACAGTGGCTGTAATTCGAAGCTCACACACAGGGAAAGGCAGACACTAAACATGACAGCTGCCAGAAAAGTACAGCCTCAGAAATGACCACAGAACTGACTCAGCACCTCTGCAATAGTTTCAAAGACCGTACGGTTACTGGGAAATGGTCCTGTTAGTGACAGTCTGCCCCAGTCTTAATTATCAATGCGGATCAAGTTCTCCAGAAGCAGGTGACTGAGAGGGGAATATGTATGGTGGCCTGGAAGGGCAAAACACAACACATTACAAAAATGTAAAAAGAATTACAAACAAAATAATAACACAAAACAATGAAAAAAGTGAAAACTTTAATAAAACATGATAGTTTTCTCAACTCTTGTGTTTTCTTAATATCTTTGTGCATCTTAATGTTTTAATGAATTGGGTACTTCAGGGCCAGCTGAATTTCTCAAAACAGAACTGCTCCAGCCCACAGGGGGCAGCACAGAAGACAGAGAGCAGACAGAACAGAGGATAGATAACAGAGAGCTGGGGATGGAGAGGACAGGAGACAGAGACGGGACAGAGCACAGACAGGACAGGGTAGAGGACAGAGGGACAGGGTACAGACAGGACTGGGCAGAGGATAGAGGGACAGGGTACAGACAGGACAGGGTAGAGGATGGATAGGACAGGAGACAGAGATGGGACAGAGTACAGACAGGACAGGGTAGAAGAAAGAGGGGACAGGGTTCAGACAGGTAGAGCAGACAACAGATCGGACAGGGTACAGAAAGGACAGGGTAGAGGATAGAGGGGACAGGGTACAGACAGGACTGGGCAGAGGATAGAGGGGACAGGGTACAGACAGGACTGGGCAGAGGATAGAGGGGACAGGGTACAGACAGGACTGGGCAGTGGATAGAGAGAACACAGCTATACAATGCAAGCTATTCTGATGCTGAAGAAACTTGTATAAGTTTTATATAAGACAAATAAATGATTTATATCACTTTTAATTTGTAATGTTAGATAGAATTTAACTGTAGCTGATAGAATTTGAACGGCTACTTTAAGTAGAGACCGTGTGAAGTGGAAATGCGATTCGCTGTATCCATAAGCCTCCAGTCACACATTAACATGTCTACTTACACTACATGTAATAGTTCATATTTTATGCTGGATTTCTAAAAAATGAAATACTGTATGTTAAGTGTTACGTAACACTTTTCACACACTGTTTATGCAAGAAGGAAGTTACATAAATGCTGACCCAGTGCTGAGAGAGGAGTAGAGAGCAGGGGCAAGATGACATTTGAGATGAATTAGTTAATAAAGCAGATTTAATGGTGAGCACTGCCCTGGGGGGCCAGCAACGCAAGACATAAGCGGCCTGGCAGTGTGTCTCAACTGGGGGTGGGGGGGGGGGTCACTTCTCAGAGCAGGGCGAGGAATGAACTCTAAAAACGTCAGGAACACATGCTGGAGACACTAACGTGAGAATGACAGAGTTAAAAGAGGAAAGTACACGAAACACGACATATACTGGAAATTTCCAAGCCATAAAAATAAAGTGCAAACCAGCACCATAAAACACACCTATCAACAGAGTGGTGCCAAGGCTGCAGTGCAGCGCACAATGGAGAAGGGAACTGGGAGGGAGCTGGAAGGAACTGGCACCACTTCTTGATGACAGAACATCATCATCATCTTTATTAACACGACCACCACCATCACCACCATTATTACCATCATCATCACCGTTCTCCTCCTCTTCCAACAAACTATGTCCAGCTGGTCTGGTCTCACAGGAGGTCTCCATGTTCCTCCTTCCAGAGTGTAGGCCATCTGTACCTCTACAGGGCTCCAAATGTCCAGCCAGAGGTCAGAGACAGCTGAACCTTGGTGTGTATCGGGGACGTCCCAGTGCTCAGTGGGTCACCTCAGCGTTCAGCTTAGATATTCAGATATTAAGGGCCCAGGGTCTATGCCAGAGGAAATGGCTCTTAATGGAGTCAAAGATGAATGCAGGAGGTCAGTCTCGGGCGTACGCGTTCTCCCGCTCTGACGGGGGAAATAAAACTGAAAAATGCATGAACTTGTGACCAGCCACAAATTTCCATACGGAAGGGGCTGCGGCTTCGCGTTTCATGGCTTCCGCATGTTCTGGAGGGGATCTGCTCACCAGCTACTAGGCCAAGAAGCGAGCCCCGTTCTGAGCCCCGCTGTGCTCTGGAGCGGCTCTCAAAACGCCGGTTTCGCAGTCGGAGGAAAACAACCTGGGGTGTTCGTTTCGGCCCGTGTGCTGATATTAGCAACACGGGCATGAAGTCCCACGGGGGGGGGGGGGGGGCGGACTTAGGGGCGAGAGAGAACAGCTCCACGGCTGCAAATAAATATTATATCAGGACTACCGTTCAGGCGACTAAGCAGTCCAAGATTTATTTTTCATTAACATTTGAAAACCATGGAGAGAGAGAGAGCGCAACGGGAAAGTCGATTGTTCTCCTCTGAAAAACGCTCTAAGAGTGACGTAATAACAACGGCCGGGCAAAACTGGGAGTCGGAGCAGCATCACACCCATCAAAGATGCTGAAAGGACTGGCACACACCAGCAGGGTCTTTTAACCTCACCCTTTTCAGAGGTGACCCCTGAAGTGCATTTAAACCCCCTTACTAAGAGAAAGCCTGTCTGCTCCCTCTGCCCCACTGTCATCCTGACACGTCACATCACTCCTCCCAGCCCTTTATGTAAAAAGGCAGGTCATGGGGCAGAGGTGACCGCACGCTGGCGAGCATGTCAACCCATCGCCATGGCAGCAGCCATTTTCAATCAGGCATCTGCTTGGGGGACCGGGGTCCTGCCATGTTGTCATGGGCGACAAGACAGTGACTCAGCAGGGAGGCCCAGCTTCGAAGAAAAGCAGAATTGTGTTACAGGCCAGAGAAGAGTCTGTGGGAAATATTGACTATACTGTCAACCATTTACTCTACTGGACGACCATTCCTTTGTGTCGTAAGATCGGACACGCTAACATGGACTTACGCTGTATGAAGACACACTAATTTCCCAAGAATATAGCTGCAAAGACACTAACCCTAATAAAATAGCTTCTCAAAGACTAGATGAGACACTAACATAGTAACTAACATAGTAACTGACATAGTAAACACCAAACCATTTCTGCACTTTGGCTTCTAAAGCGCTGTCCCATATTCAAAAAACAAAATATCTGCAGTCTCGTGCCTCCTCCCCAGTGACTCACAATTGAAGAACCTTATTTGGAAGTAAAACGTGAACAAAGAGCAAAAGCCGCAACCAACACTGGTGTGGAACCATTCCAGCGACGAGAACACGGGCCTTCTGGTATTTCGGGGGTTTTGCCATTAGTCAGTATGAAGTAGTTCTTCTCTGTGGTGAGTAGTACTTCACTGTAACCGAATATGACTTCGCACAGTTACAGAGTGAGATGGATTGTCATCGGTCTTCCGTAGGGACGAGGTCTGTGCAAAGTCTGTGCCACCCCGACAGACAAAACCAGGGTGTCCTGCGTTTCTAAAGGATGGACGCACGCTGGGATCTGGAGCCTAATGGCGGTAAGGGGACAGCGATCTGCCACACTGACGCACAACACATTGCCTTTGAGAAGACTAGAAGGGAACTTGTAATTCTAAATGTTTCACCTATAACATACATTAATTCGGAATAAAATCTAACAACTTCTGAACTGCAGAAACAGGTTAAAGTCAATCCCTTCAAACATCCCTCAGGGGAATCGCTATCAGCGTTAACATTTTTTGACCCAAGAAGCTAAAGAAAAATAATGATACTCCAGAGATACTCCATTCTGTTGATTTGGAATCAACAGAATGCTGCGGCTGAACCATACGCACAAAGAAATCACTCAATATATAAGCGGAACATGACCCCCAACAGTCGCGGCTCCTTTTGTAATAAACATACCGGTTCAGCCAATCAGCAACAGGAATTCCAGTGTTTTATACCGGTTTTTTTTTACAAGCTGTAAAGCCAGCCGCTAGCTGACGCCGGGTGTCTCGGGGTGCTGAAAAGGCCCCGCAGTACAGAGAGGCATCGCGCATTCAGATTCTCCCCCGTGGCCCTGCTGCTCTCATCCACAGGCTAAGTAGACAGGCCTCAAAGCCACAGCTGTGCAGCTGGAACCCCATCCAAGCAGGATTTACGGCCGGCTGACAGTCCTATTTCAGCAGCTTCCAGAATATGCACGACGGACCCGAGGTGGTTATTTCCCCGCCTGTGCCTTTCTCCAGATTGACAGCGCCAAAATAGTTAAATGCGACACAGCCTGTGGGATTGGCCCTCACTCCCCAACCGCTAATGTAAAGAGATCATCCCCCACTGCCCACCAGTGGTATCTCGTTCCAGTCACTATGGAGATCCCCAAAAACATTTCTAGCTAACATCAAAGTGAAATGCCCCTGTTTGTGGCTGACTGATAGCTTTCAGGTATGCGAGGTCTCCCTTTTCTCAGTTTTATGAATAACATTCAGACATTTACCAATAACTGGTAGGAGAGAGGATACGTGCCTATGAAAGGCAGCGATACTGGAAGGGTTAGCAGTGCTGTCTCATCGCGAGCGGCTTGTAGGACCGCAGCGTAGCGTGACCGACCCAGCGGGCGGAAAGCAGCAGGGAAAGGGCCCGTCGCTAAAGCGGAGATGATTACCGCATCGCCCTGCCTACAACTCTGCCTGCAAGGATTAAGGCAATTAAGGCTGCAGTGATCCCGAGACTGTTACTCCCATTCTGAGCAATTCCATCCCTTTCAAAAGCCTGACTGTTTCTTTTTTTGTGGGATTATACAAGCGTGAAGATATCAAAGAAGGGATAAGCTCATGCATTCCTAAAGATAGTGGAGAGGTAACTCCTGATACACAGCAGAGCTTATTGCCATTGAGAGAGCTCTGGGAAAAAGGCTCGAGGCTACACCCACCAAAAAAGGAAATACACTTTACATGCAAGAAGGTGTGTAAAGATAGAACTAATAAGACGTTCCTCAACAGAAGCAGATGATGATGATGATCTCTAAGGCGTAGATATGCCGGAATCTGGAGAGCTTAGTGTGAACAGTCCCTGGACCAGCTTCCCCGAGCAGAATCCGGGTTAGTGCTCTGTCTGTGCCCCGGGAAGAGGACTGTGATGCTCACCTCTGCAGGAGGGACCCCCTCAGGCGGGCGACACTGCAGTAGCACCTCCTGCTCCAGAGACACCTCCTTCCCCAGTGGCTCCTGTTCAAAGGTCTTCTTCAGATCTGCAACCGAAAGATTAAGTAAGAAGTTATTCTGCGCAAACGGGCCTGGTCCAGCCATCTTCGCCCGCTTAAGTGACTCCTTAGCTACATGGGACAGAAAATGCAAGGGACAATGGGAAGTGTCCCTTTGCCTGGGACAATCAGAGGTTCATTTGCTTGGACAGATGGTCCAACAAGTTCTCCCCAGTGTAGGACAGGTTGGGGTCACGCCCTCCAGTGACCTTGTCCCTCACCCCCCAGTAGCAGCATACGGGAGAATGTGCTGAAACCAGGATCAACCCCTGATCCTGTGTGTCCACCTAAGAGTGAATATTACATCGTATGACATGAATGACGATATGTCAGCTTCTTCTGTGTGCATACAGATATAAATTTGCAATCGTTTACTCAGATTCAAATGAGCAAACCCTTTAGTCGACATCATGTTTCATAACAACACAGTATGCCGTGTTTAATAAGCTAGCCCGGCCTGTTTTACACACAGCCGTCGGTGTTTTGCTCTGCGTAACTCAAGAAAAGCTCAAAACAACAGACGTCTGTCCGATGCACCCACACAGAAAACTTACTCACGTCTGCCAGTTCTTAGCTAATCCGACACCGTGTTTCCTAACAATACTTTCCATTAAGGACAAATGAAGCATCTCCTCTGTTTGCAGAGACTGCTGGTGGGGGCATTATTCCACAGGTGGAGGTAAAAAAAACAGGGGCATAGTGGAGAGTAAGGGCAACTGTTACAGCCTTAAACATTCAATAACGAGCCCAGTTTGTTGCATGAAGGAAAATCAATAGCAAACATCGATACCATCGTATGAAAGGAATGACTCGTTAAATTGTTGTTTTATCCTGAATTCCCATTATGAATACCATCAGCATGCCTTGGGTGACACAGCGTTTATTGGGGGGGGTAGTTGGATCAGACAGCTACAGTTGGATCAGACGCCTGTTCAACTCCACACATCCCGTTGCTGAGTAAGGATGCATCCCCACAGTCTGTGACGTCTTCATATGCCCTAACTCTGTTTGCAGTGCTGGTGGGGGCAGGGGGTAGGTTATTCCGAATGTGGTTAGGTCAGAGTGGACCCCCATGAACTCTGGACTACCCCAGCTGCTAAATCCGATCACGGAGGCAGAGACAGGGTGTGCCAGGGATGGCGGTCAGGAACTGCACCCGCTGTGTGGAGCTGCACAGAAGAACGGCACGGAAAACCGACAAGCAATAAACACACAAATCACATTTTACTGCAGGTACTGTAGGAAACCAGACGGCATATTTTCTCCAATCCCTCCCCTTAGTCCATGCCAGATATCCAGGAAAATCCATTACTGCCATTGCCCGTCCTAAAATACGGACCTTTACGGCGTTACTGAACAGGACAGTATTTCCTCGCTGGGTCTGACCCACAGGGCACACCCATTACCAATGTGCATAAAGGCCATAAAGAATCAGGTAACACAAGGGCACTGAGGAGCACCAGGCCTCGCAGGAGGCTAATTCATCAAGGCACGCTCTGATTCAGAGGCGGCGTTAAGCACGGGACCGGGCCGCGGGGTCAGCCTGAAACAGGAAGAGCGTTTAGGGTCGGAGCAGAAGCTGACACGGTGTGGGGAGGAGGCTGCCGTCTCAGCTTACCGCTACAGCTAGCCAACGACAAGCTAGCCAGCCCAGAACCAGCCGGCATCATCCGTACGCCGAGATCTCCAGCCAAGGGTCCGGAAACCCCATTTCTCTAGAGCGGTCTTAAGTTTCCTGGAGCTTTTCCATAGTACAGATCATCCTTTCTCCTGATCTCTCACTGCTTCTGCCAGTACAGTCCATTTAGCAGTTATCCGAGATCCGAGATAAAAGACTAATCCCAGTACTGACGCCAGTGAGACTTCCATGATGACGAGGCCCGTGCCCCCAGCTGGGATATTCAGGCAGCCTCCATCTGTACTGGGCTACAGGCCACTCTAATACCAGCACCATAAAAACGCCTTAAACCTTCCCCCTGTCTGCTGTACCTGGCTGAGTCAGCCCAGCCTGCGGGGGCGGTGCAGTTAAACTACCCACTCCAATTACCCGTGTGTTTGTTCTGCTGTGAGCATGCTTTTCCACAGCCCCTCCCATCAGCGTCCTTAGGAACAGGGATTTGATTGGTCAGAGGAGCGCTCACAATGAAAGGAGATGTGGATTTTGCTGCAAAGGAGTATGAAAATAGACTGGAGTAACCACAGAAAACGCTAATAATCTCCATAACCATAACACTTCCAGTGTTACCTTCATCATCTCTACACTGTGCAGTGTAAACATTGGGCCATCTTCATTACGATTCATTATATTAAATGCTTTGCTCACTGATTGGTCATCACTGCTCTGGGATGCTCTGGGGGGGGGGGGGGGGTGAGGCGACACCATATAGTCACACGGACAGACACACGAAAGTGAGTTTGCCTCTAGGGTCGTCAGTCAACATTATTACATTACGATTTATTTCTGTAATAAGCGTATTTATTCAAATCCAGGGAGAGTTATGGAGAAAAAAAGACAAAACAAACAAAAAACATGCATTTTATCATAAATTGAAAGTTTATTGTAGGTTACATGCAATTCAGTTGAAACATTTAAAAACATTTTATCTAGTATTGTGTTTTTGTTAATCTTATGTTATGGTAATTAGATTTTTGGATACCTATTTGGGGAAAATGTGTGTACTTTCTAAATTTGTTTTCACCACATTTGCTTGTACAGTACGTGTGCTGTATACTGTCTTTGCATTCTGTCTGTTTGGCACTATATGTGTGGTTGTTTGTTTTGCTGCATGCACCACAATATCTCCCAGGGATCCATAAAGTCAATCTTAATCTTAAAATCTAAAAATGGTTTTTTAAAAAAGTCATTAAATCACAGCAGCAATGAATTTTAATATACCTAAAACGTTAAGGGGATTTCAATTGCTCTACATAAACAAACAAAAACAAACCCTATATTTCATTGTGACATGAAGAAAAAAAAAAAGTTTGTGAGAATGACCCAAAATGTTCTTCACCTCCCCCCAAATAAATCCACACCAATTAGTTTAAATAGTGTTCTCATTCATTTTCAGACTCCCCCCTATAGTAAAGGCTCAGCCCCCCCTCCTGCCCACGGCTCCTCATACATGAGTCATCACTTCACTTGCTGATAGATAGTGTTTGCAAGGGGGAAAAAAAAAATCAAAAAACAAACAACAACATCAAAAGAAAGAATAGAAGCCAAAGGTACCGCAAACCCCCTCCCAAAGCAGGCCAACCCCTGCCCCCCCACTGTCAGACAAGCCCAGTGTGAAGCAAGGCCAGGTAAACCAGACAAGCGTGCCCCAGCGGACAGTGGCCGCTCAGTCTCTGTGCCGTAACTCAGGCCGTAAGCGCCCGGGGCCTTTATGGCTACGACATCGATTACCACGTCCCGACAACAGAGAGCACGATTATTGATAGCTCTGAAGCGATTGCCGATGATTAAAGTCCATGCCGGAGAGGAAGAATGCGAAAAGGACCCCAAAGAGGGCCGTCGTTTACCAGGCCGCGTGCCAGAAATCCACTTCCTCCACACGGGAGGCACATTTAATAGGGAAAGGAGGTGAATTTATATGCATTTTAAGCAAATCAAAAGGTTATTGGCAACAGGAGGCTGCTCTCACTCCGCAGAGAACACCATCACGCCTGAGCCCCCTCGGCCCAGACAGCAGAATAAACCGGTGCGATGGGTCGGGTCGTACACAGGCTACGGCGACACCTCTTTATGCTCAACTGGTTGATAGATACAAAATCTTGGTCTGGATTTGTAGCTTCTGGACCTGGAATGGCCAACGCTGTTTCTACATTTACAGTGCTGATGAAAATGATGGATGTGATCCTGTTTGAAGTGAATAACAATGTTTTTGGCATCTATTTAGACCAATGAGATGGCTTGGGGTGTATTTATGTGCTGTGTTCACACCTGGGGAGGGGGGGGTGTCAATATCAATACTCAACTGCTCAGGGGGGGTTCTGCGCTGTCTGGCCAATAGCAGTGCTCAGGATCATGGCCGGCCCTCCTCACACCCAGCTTTCCCTCTTTCATTGGGCAAGGTGGCCAGTCCAGAGTAGGGCCCTGATGGCACGATCTGAATGTCTCAGGCAAACTGTGATTGGCTCAGGCAAACCGTGATTGGCTCAGGCAAAACGTGATTGGATCAGGCAAAACGTGATTGGATCAGGCAAACCGTGATTGGCTCAGGCAAAACCAGAATCTCTGCCACTAGGCCATGGATGGATTTTGTTTCATACAGACTTTTTGGCTAGTGAGGCGATGAAGTCAAACAAGGCTGAATGCACCCAAAACTGAGACTTCATTAGAAATACCTGCCAATATAGCTTGAAATGGAAGGTGGATAAACTGGTGCTCAGATTTGTAGTTGTGTGTTTACGCATGTTAAATATTTCTGTTAATTGATCCTGTGATTTATCTTGCTAGAAGTCAGAAAGCTGTTCTAAGTTCATAGAAAAGAACTAGTTGAAGAACTAGGTTTATCCTGAATAAACAGCCTCATGATTTAGTGAAGAGAATGCATGACTAGAACTAGAATAATAAATAGCAGTGTAAACTATATAGGTTTTGAACAGAAACCGAATGTGATGAAACAGGCTTATAGTCACCATGCAACGAACAAATGAAACTCCAATACCATGCAGGACAGTGACGGACTCACGGGTGACGTGGACGGACAGTGTGACGGAGTCACGGGTAATGTGGATGGACAGAGTGACGGACTCTCCCACAATGAGGACGGATTCATGTGCAATGAGGACAGTCTCGCGGGCGATGTGGACGGAGAGTGTGACAGAGTTACGGGTGATGTGGACAGACAGAGTGACAGACTCGCGGGCGATGTGGATGGACAGAGTGACAGACTCGCACCCAATGAGGACTGACTCGTAGGCGATGTGGACGGACAGTGTGACGGAGTTACGGGTGATGTGGACAGACAGAGTGCCAGACTTGCACCCAATGAGGACGGACTCGCAGGCGATACAGACAATGAGGGACAGACAGAGTGAGGGACTCACAGGCAATGCGGACGTGGGCCTTGCGGCTCTTGGTGGTCCCAGCTGAGCTCCAGGCCACACACTGGCACCAGTAATCCTCCGGACCAAAGAGCTCCTCCACCTGTTGACGTGAGATCTCGATACTGGCTTCCCTGAGCAGCAGCCCTGTGGGGAAGGGGGGGGGGGTCACGGGTCACAAAGACTGTCCCCTGCCAAGTGTCACTGACGCTCTACTTCCCCTGCAGGGGAGGACACGGAATACACACACATACATAGTTCATTGTGGGGACTGTCCATTCATTTCTATGGGCTTAATCCTAATCCCAACAATGACAACCCTAACCCTACCCCTTGAAGGAAAGCTGGTAGTGCTGACTACACACACACACACACACACACACACACACAATCATCAGGTAAACATATCTTTATGGGGACCGGTCATTCATTTCTATGGGAAAAATGCTAACGCTAACTATGACAACCTTAACCCCTACCCAGCCCTGACCATAAGTAACCAAGCAAAATACAAGAGTTTTTGCATTTTTAGTTTTTTCATTGCAGTCACAGATTTTTATTAAATTGAGTTTTCCCTTATGGGGGCCAGGAAACTTGTCCCCATAAAGGAAAGAAAACGGGTATTCATCATGATGTGGGGATATTGTGTCCCCATAAAGTAAGGTATACCTGCTCTCTCTCTCTCTCTCTCTCTCTCTCTCTCTCTCTCTCACACACACACACACACACACACACACACACCTTCAGCACGCCTGCATGGACCACCGGAGAGAACACAAGGAATCTGCAGCCATCTTCGTCACAGACAGGAATTGACCTCATTTATGATCCATCACGACCATAAATAATTAAAGCTGGGGTTCAGAAAGATGGAGAGGGCCGCCGGGGGGGATGGGCGCCTTCCTTTGGGGGGGGCACGAAAAGTCGGCGTAAAACCACCTGAGACTAAGATTCACACAAGACATGGCTCCCCCAAAAAAATTAAGATTCCCTGAAGAGTAGAGGAAGCCTCTCCTTTAGGGACGGCCCTGAGCGATAGGCCAGCCCCCGTGAGCGATAGGCCAGCCCCCGTGAGCGATAGGCCAGCCCCCGTGAGCGATAGGCCAGCCCCCGTGAGCGATAGGCCAGCCCCTGTGAGCGATAGGCCAGCCCCTGTGAGCTACCACGGGAGTGTGGGAAAGCTGCAGTGTAGAATCATCCCTGGGCCCCGTCTGCATTCCACCCTCCACAGCGACTCCTATCCGGCCGGTATGGAGAGTAAATACAGATACTCACAGTATTGATGAGATAATGGGCAGGTTCCTGGGGTGGGGGTACACTGATGCATGCTCTCAGGGAGGAATGCAAGCCTTACGTATCCATCAACAACTCCCAAGAGAGTGCTCTCTTGCTGGCGACCTATTGGTCCCTGGGAAAATCCATTTTAAGGAAGCTAATGATCTGGATCCTGATGTTGCTAAGCTAAGCCTTAATTTATTTATTTCTGCAAACTCATCCAGAGTAACGATTTCCACTGGGAGCCGGCAAACAGGTCCTCATAACATGACCGTCTCCCCCGACCTGGAGCAAACGTGGGCTAATCTACTCCAGTCGCACACTAGTAGACCCGGAGATATTGGGTTTCCGCTGAAATGGCTATCGACTACCCCAGTCGGCGTTTATCTGTGGGTCTCTCTTCTTTCAATCACGCTGAATTACAGCAGAGGCAGCTCAGCGCGGGACCCTGAAGAGGGAAGGCGAGGAGCCTCCCATCGCCAACTCTGGGTTTGACAGCAGTGTTCCTGGTGCGACAGGAATGTTGATGCTCATATCAGCCATCTAAAGTACATTTTAAACAGCTCTGTGACCAGCATTAGACAGAGAAGCAGGCAACCAGAAGATGAAGGAAGAACAGGCTGAGATGGCTGGTGGAAGGAAGAACAGCCATGATGCTCCTGAAAGGGATGTTTCCACGTCCCCTCAGCCTGAACTGCTGCCGGACCTGCAGACCACAAGGTTCAAGGCCAGTGGGTTGCCATCTGCTCATGGGAGTTTTACTTGTGCAAAAAATGTGCAGAAAGAAAAATGAATGGTTCAGAGAGATAACCAATCAGATTGTGCGGTGGGTCCAAGCAACTAGGAGAGGTGGGACCAAGACGTCTGATTGGTTGGTCCCACTTCCTGTAGTTGCTTGAACATTGAACATTTCTGTGTAAGTAAAACTCCCACTGGCTTGCAGTCTCCTTTCTGTATGGACATCATGGCTGCGGAGTACTGGCTATTTACACTGTGCTACACAGACCTCTACAAACCCCACGTCTGAGGAAAATCCCTATACCAAGAACCTGATACATCTGAGAAGATCTCTGCTTAATCCTGCCTGCAGAAAAGTGGGCAGTCAATCATATAACAGAGCTTAGGGGTTGATGTGTAACTGAAAACACGTTTAAACCAGTGTTTCCCAATCCAGTCCTTGAGGACACACAGTCGGCCCATGTTTTTGCTCCCTCCGAGCTCCCTGCCAGACAGTCCACATTTTTGCTCCCTGCCAGCTCCCCAAAAACGTGGACCATCTGTGGGTCCCCAAGGACCAGATTGGGAAAAACTGTTTTAACCAGAAACAGGACTCCACTGATCACAGGATGAGAGAGTCTTAGGGAAAAGATCAAGGATACCGACCCGAGGTGTCATCCACGCTCTCCTCCACGGTGTGCTCCTTCTGGTGGACCCACTCGCTGTTGCACTTGAAGTAGATTTGCGTGGCAGGTGTGGCCTTGCAGTAGAGGATTACCGGCTTGTTCTTGACGATATAGGCCTCTTCCGGTTCCATCAGGAAGTGGGGGAGGGACTCCGGAGGGTCGGAGGGGAACGTCTCGGGAAGTTCACCCAGTCCCAAGAAATCATCATCCACTGTAGAGGGGAGGCAGGTGTCAAAAACAATGCTATTATTCACTGGCTAATACAGCACCCTGAATGCAATGTGAAAGCTTTATCTGCAGTAACTACAGTTTATCGTATTGTTCATTCTACACCAGGAAACTGACAACAGATGCTTGACTGAGCATCTCAATCGAACCTTCAATGGCAATATTCTGGAGAAGAGAAACACAACGAAGTGTGACCATGAAGTTAGCTGGTGTCTGTCTCTGTTCTTCTGAGTCTCGAGGCTCCGTGCATCAGCAAGATTTGATAATTTTGCAGAGGGAGCAGGAAGGGCCTCTCCCTCCATTATTTATCCACTCTCCCCCCAGTTGGCCTTGCTTTCATGTTCCTGCCATGACAATAATGCCAAATTATGGATGTCAACAAAGGATGTGTCAACTAGTCTATGGCAGAACAATCAGCTCGGCTGCTGAAATGCACTGACAGTTTGCTTTTAAGCCATGACTGCTCTGAGATCTGAAGGGCCGTGTCGGAGACCCCTATTCGCAGCGGGATCCCAGAGACAATGAGAGCGCAACCTGTCATTAATCATATTAATGAATGACATCAGAGATAGATATACTGTATCAGAGACACAAGTCATGCAGTTTCAAAGGGCTCTGGTCACGCAATCACGGAAGGGCCCCTTTTCCACACAACAGGTTTAAGGGTTCAGGCCATTGACAGGAGGGAGGATTGTGGGTAATGGAGAAAAAAGCTCTCAGGTACAGAGCTCAGTACTGATTGGCCACCATTTGCTCCATCACTAATGAAGGGAATAAGGCGGCATGGAGACGACACGGTAGAGGAAGGTGAACTCCAAACCTGGACACCCTCCAGCAGAAAGGGGGACAGACAGTCACGGAGGTGTGGACATTAAACCCTGAAGAGTACATCACTCTCTCGCTCGCTCTCTCAAGTTAGTTAATTTGGCACAGTGTTAAACAGTAAAACACATCAGAGGGCCTGACTGCTGGCAGAAATGGGAAGCCCTGAATTCCAGCACCTGCTGATGATCCTATTATCAAGTGATGATCCGGATGATTGATAGGATGACTGAT